CCAGCTGCACGATGATTTCTCCGGATTCTAACTTTATTCTGAGTAACAGACAGCTAATCTTGATTCTTACTGAATAAGCATTGAAATGTTCTATGGTGGTAAAGAGCTGCAGCTGCAGCTTGTTAATTACTCACTGCTCTTTTTTAAAAAAAAAAACTCTTTTAAGTAGTTTTTTTTTAAACCCTAAACCTCTACAATTTGTTTGCCAATTTTTTATTCCCCCGTTAAATGCTGATGACAAAATTAGCAAAAGGATGATTATTGGGAGACTTTAAAACTCTGGCATTCCTTGAGTTAGCTTTCTTGGTTGGCGGCTAGAGATTACACAGGAAAAAAACACTGAAATTCTGACTGAAGGTGGCATTAAAGGCAGCATCTCACATCTTAGGACAAAGGTTTTTTTCGCACTAACAGCTTCAGAATCACTGATCGTTAAATTATTTGCAAGATGACAGGTGACGGTAGGTGTCAGCTGGAAGACAAAATGTCTTTCCATTAACGCCAAACATCTCTCACTTCACTCTCAGGAAATGTAACTTGGATCAGCTTTCTTTTCCTGGAAGACATTCAGCAACCTAGAGGCCCCATTGATACATGTAAATACGGAAGTTAATCACAACCTCTAATTTGGTCTCATTCAGCACGGGAGAATTAGTGTTCATAACATTTAAAAATAGCAGATTTTTTTTTCCACCAGTGCTTTTTAAAGCAAAATCTGAAAGGTAAATAAAGATTGCCTTACTAAATTTCATAGGGGTACCTCTTCCTACCGCTTCTCAAAAATAGTCCTGCCACTCAGTTTGCCTATAGTTCAATTATGACTCTGCTGGCTTGATTAAGAGCCAGGCATGAAAACTTGGAACACTTAGGGAAAGCTGAAAGGAAGATGAATAGCATTGGTAGCCTGCTTTAATTTGTGGGACCTGCTCCACTTACCTATTAAGTCACGTAACTTCAGCTATAAAGTGCAGGGCACTTTCTGTAGCCCCTGATACAGAAGCTGGCCAGAGTAACCTGCTGTTTGCCATATTTCCATGAACACATCTTCATTGAGCTACTAGTTCTTCCCTCTTCCAGCTATATTTTCTGTTCATTATTTATTTATTTAAAACATCGCTATAGCTTCCTATCTCATAACCCACTCTGAGTGGCTTCAATCTGAAGTTAAAACAACGTACAAAAACCTATTGAAACTATAAAACTATAAAAATGAAATGCATTAAAACATTGACTGTTTTAATGTGCAACATGCACCGTTAGTAGCAAAACTTTACGTGGACTTAGGCCACTGATTTTAATTCTAAGGAATTGTTTCTCTGGTGGCATTAAAGCCAAAGTCTACAAAGTCTACAAGCATATCTATAGCTTCCTATCTTATAACCCACTCTGAGTGGCTTCAATCTGAAGTTAAAACAACGTACAAAAACCTATTGAAACTATAAAACTATAAAAATGAAATGCATTAAAACATTGACTGTTTTAATGTGCAACGTGAACTGTTAATAGCAAAAATTTACGTGGACTTAGGCCACTGATTTTAATTCTAAGGAATTGTTTCTCTGGTGGCATTAAAGCCAAAGTCTACAACTTTGGTATTGCATTTAAAAAAGGAAAAAAGGGAAAACAATTAGCAGCATTTATCTCTATGTGACATTCATATGCAATCAGGGCTGGGGCTATCCCAGGCAACTTCACTAATGAAAACTGAAATTGCTTCAGCTTGAAGCAAAGAACGTGCTGTCTCTTACTGGTACCTGCACACAGATGACAAATCTGATACTACACCCAAGAGAAATGTACTGGATTCAGTCAATCAGTCAGCTTATTAAACTCCTAGACTAGTACAAAAAGTATGTCCATGAGTAATCTGTGAGGACTTATAAATCTATCTTATGAAATCAATAAAATTTGAAACAAAATTAAAATACATCTGTAAAACAACCTGGAATCTGCTTTTTTAAATATGAGTGACATTGTGGTGCTTACTCAGCATCTACTATTCTGTTTTAAAGTTTAATGCATATATGCTCTAGTCTAAAAGAAGTGATTGCCTAGGAGCAAAAATCAATTGTTTTGATTTATCACGTTTTATCAAAACAATGTGTGTATGTGTGTAACTTGTAGCATAGCTGCTGTGTGCCAAAGATTCAAACAGTGTAGATTATCTGTTTGGTCCCTGAAGAAAGAATATATATCAAAAGAAAAGTAAATCTCCAGCCAATTAATTGGTGCCAAGTTACACAAGTCTTTTATGATTGTCTCAGAGGATATGCTTCATATTTTATCTTCTAAGACAAAAAGTGAATGCTTATAATAACTGCAGCAGGTAGGGAATAATTAATTGCAAAACTGGCATTTTTACCATGACTAGCTCAGAGAAAATTACTGCATAAAAAGGATTATTGGCCATAGCTCCTTTTGATATATAATCTGCTTCATGCTCTCAACAACAGGTTAAAGAAAAGTAGAAAAATCTGCAGTCTGCTAGAAAATAAATGTTGTTAAGTAAAAGCAGGCAATTATCAAATTCCAAATTAACATTTGCTACTGTATGTACTGTCAATAACATGCATTGCTAATTAGTAGGTAGAATAAAACAACTGGAAAATCCAAAATCAGCTGTGAGAGAACATCCTTGTTCAGCCTGGTTCCAACTGAGCATCAAAAATCCAAAATATAACAGGTGTAGAGTAAGCTAGAAACCACCCCAGAAAACGTGTTCACTAATAGCTTATCTGTTCTGTTTCTTCCATGTTCAACCCAAGACTTATAGAAGGTTTTTCTAGTACAGGATGGAGACCCACAAAGAATATGTTTTGCTAATACTTTTTTTCTCTCAACATTTCTTGCTTTCCATTTTTGTATCATGTGATTGTGACAAATTCTGTAATAATACAAAATTTAAATGTAGGCCTTGCTTAATTTGCTTCTGTTTGCTAGTAGTGGCCGTCATCACAACCATAATGTGCATTATTAAGTCATTCAAAGATGGAGGATTTCTTCAGGCTTCTAGTTTGTGGAACTCTTTAGATACTGTCCACAGTATCTAAGCAAGCAGAGATTTGTGCTGTTAGGATATATTCTGATTGTAGCTTTTCCTTTGCTCTGAGGGTTATGGTAATTGTTGTGTCCTGAGCCTGCAGAAGCAGGCTCGGGACGATGCAAGAGTCCCGGGCATTTGCAAAAGCTACCTGGGACCAGACTGAGTGGCGCCGGCCTTGCACACATGCGCAAGGCGGGAAAAGACTGCCTGTGATTGGTTGAAATTGCCCGGGGATCAGAGGGTATAAATAGAGGCCTGCGCGCCTCTGCTCGGGTTGTTCGTTGACTGTAGTCAGAGAATAAAGACATGTTTGGAACTGCATTGTGTCCTGCGCCATTATTCTCCGGACTTAACAGTAATGTTGCTCCCTTCCTTTCATCTGCATTTATTTCTCAATAGTAGTTAGGTGCCATGATATATAAAAAGTATGGTCTTCCTCAGAAATTATGATTAACCTGTATGTGTAACTTATTGGTCTGACTAGCATATTTCTTAACTTGAATTAGAAGCTATAAGAGGCTTTTTGGTTTATATTCAGAGATCACCTGGGGTGAAATTCACTCTTAGGCAGAAGGCCAGTGAAAGACTGCCTATCAGATTGCACTTGAGAGTCGTGTGTAAGTCTTATGCTCGGGCACCAGGCTGATCAGGAATATCTCCTGGAAAATGTGCTGCATGAATGGGCAGTTTGCCCAATTATTTATCCCATGAATGACAAGAGCCCCTCGGGGTAGGGTGTGGTGAAGAAGCAACAGACAGGAACTGGTGCCAGCAAACATGACTATGTGAGCTTCCTGTTTGGAGCTTTCAGTAACCATTTCATGAGCAATCCTCTAAACTCAGAGATCAGGCATAATTTCAGCACTTCTGGACTAGCCATCTTAATATAAACAGTACTTTGAAAACCCAAATTGGAAGAGTCATAAAATGGGTGTCCACTTAGGCAGAACTTTCATAAAACTATAGACATGGAAGAATTTCTTCTCCTTTTATCTGGTGCTGTTTTCTCATTTTCACAATATACATATTTATGTCTCCTCAAACACTAGCAATTTGGCCCTATGCATGAGTCTCCATTTCTCCATCATCAGATCAGTTTATAGGCATAAGGACAGTCTTTATCAAACAGTGCCTAAAAGTATAGGGATATACTTTTAATCTTTCTGAGCATCTACAATTCCTGATTATATGAAAGAAAGTTCATGCCTTGTATCCAAATGTATTGTCTGAATAGGATCAACATATAAAAGCTTGATCTGAACTTGTGCCATTGCCAGGTCATCTTTCATTGGTGAGAAATACAATAACATATTTTATAAATAATTTGTTTATTTGAGATTTAGTGAGTTCTGTGAAATTATCCTGTTCTAAGTCATAGGTTAAGCAATATGTAGTTTAAAACATATTGCCTAGTTTAAAACTTAAATAATGAAGCCTGAACTGCAGTGAGATTTTTGAATATATTTTCTATAGGATTGCCCTGCACATAGCAACAATGCAAATGGGGGATGTGTCTAGTACCTAGTGTGCAGCAAATTTTCACAGTTAGCTTTAGAAGGATTACTTTTTCCTGTGACAAGGGTTTTCTTGATTAAAAAGATTGACTTTCATGATGGAAGAACGGATTTTTTGTTTTTTTTTTCTGGCAAAAAGATGGGAATGAGTTCATGTTTAATTGTAATTTCAATAGTAACATATGTATGAAATGTAATAAAGATGATGAAAAGTAGATTTCCAACAAGGTGTGGTTTTGTGGGTAGCATTAGACCTGAACAATTATGATTATAGTAACCTCAAGAGATGGAACAGTCTTTTGAATACAATAGAGTTGCCCAAGTACCTATGAACCCAAAATTAATTTCTGTGTATTTCATCATCTGTTTGCTCCCATATTTTATAAAAAATCATCACAGTTGGTTTAATAAGACAATTTCTTCCACTACACCCCAACCTTTAGGCAATTGTTTCCAAATGGGTTCCCAGAGGAATACTTCATAACAGCCACATTCCGTGTCAGAAGAAACAGCAAAAGAGAACGCTGGTATTTACTGCAGATTTTAGATCAGCATAATTTGCCACAGGTTAGAATAAATTCAATTATTTGGTATTGTTACTTCTTTAGTTGTGTTTGTTCGTTCGTTTCCTATTCCCATCCCCAATAAAATGATAGCTACAGCTTTGTGAATGGCTAGATAGTCCCAGTGGTGGGATTCAAATATGTGAACAACCGGTTCTCTGTGTGGATGCCGCTTCCGGAAGTCCGTTCTGGCCCTGGGCAACAAAAAATTAGCTACCGGTTCTGCCGAAGTGGTGCGAACTGACTGAATCCGACCACTGGATAGACCCCTCCAGATTATGCAACTACTGATATGGCTTGGATACCACAGTGGTCATTTTTTAAATAGCAATTATAGAATGATTTACATAGGAGTAATGGAGCCTTGGGATGGCATGTGTTGGGAAGTTAACATTTTGTCTTTTGGTTTGAAGAATATTGAAACCTGTAGAATATAACAAATTAAGTGAAAGGTTGGAGTTTGATGTTTAATGACAAGGTTGCATGGAAAAATATTCAAGAGACAGATTCAGAAAGCTTAAACAAGTAAAAGATACATCTAGACTCGTCAGGGAAAGTTTGGACTGCCACCAACTGAAAAATTGTTTAATTTTTAGTAGTTTAATACATCCCATCCCATCCCATGTCTTATTGGAGCCCTGGTGGTGCAATGGTTAGAATGCAGTATTGTAGGTAAACTCTGCCCACAGTCTGAAGTTCGAACCTGAGGGGGCTCAAGATTGATTCAGTCTTCTATCCTTTGGGGGTTGGTAAAATGAGAACCCAGATTGTTGGGGGCAATGGGCTGACATTTTAAATCATGCCGAGAGTCTGTACATAAATCTAAATGCAAATTGCTGTTGCTACTGTGGAGTCCCCTGCTCCTCTGGGGAGCTTTTGAGGGGGCTGAGGGGCTGCATCAGGAAGGAGGGGGTGAGAAAGTTTCACTTTCTGAGGAGAACTTGACATGTGATTCCAAACATTTCCAGCATGTACTGACGTCTATGATTGTATTCTCTTCTTTGCTATCTTGCAGTTTATTTCATTTTGAAAGCACTGAAATTTGTGTGTGTGTATATTTTTGTTCAGGCTTACATCTCAATTGATGGTTTAAAAAAAGCTATAGAGTATGTCATGCAATCTACCCAGCGGAACTCCCTGCGCTATGTCTTTAAAAGCCGCAAAATCTATCCTATCTTTGACCGTCAATGGCATAAGCTTGGCATCAGTGTGCAATCAAGGAAGATTTCTCTTTATGTGGACTGCAGCTTAATTGAACAAAGGATGACTGAGGAAAAAGCTAGCCCTGACGTTCAGGGAAAGATTCTCATTGCTACTCATTATTTAGACGGCAAACCTGTGGATGTAAGTGTTCATGTCCATGTTTTAATAAATTACGTGGTTTTATGCTGCTTTTATGGAAAAGGAAGTGGTGGGTGTTATTGTTATGTTGTTTTTGTTCATTGTTCTGAATTTATAAGATGCTAATATGATAGATAGATAGATAGATAGATAGATAGATAGATAGATAGATAGATAGATAGATAGATAGATAGATAGATAGATAGATAGAGAGATAGAGAGATAGAGAGATAGAGAGATAGAGAGATAGAGAGATAGATAGATAGATAGATAGATAGATAGATAGATAGATAGATAGATAGACAGATAGACAGACAGACAGACAGACAGACAGACAGACAGACAGACAGACAGACAGACAGGCAGGCAGGCAGGCAGGCAGGCAGGCAGGCAGGCAGGCAGGCAGGCAGGCAGGCAGGCAGGCAGGCAGGCAGGCAGGCAGACAGACAGATAGATAGAACAACATCAAATTGGTGAGCTGGAAAAACTTGAATGATTTCTGCTTATGAATTAGAACAATTTTGTTGATGAGACACATTGCTGAAAAGGAAAGGAAAATATTTTTTTCCTCTTCCTATAATTTCCTGCTCCCTAAAATGTTTTTTTCTGAAAGCTTGGAACCCTTCAAAAATAATTGGAGATCATTGGAACTGAAGGAGAGAACTGGGAGTAAACCAAAATTGCCTCCTGCTTCTTCACGTAGAACCTTCTCTAGAAAAAATAATTGCATCATTGAATGAGCCCTGCATGTATAGAATATCATATCTGAATCCAGACATATGCATTTTACATATGTTTAGAAAGCAGACTTTTTCAATTTTGATGCCCTGAGATCCTTTAGAAATGAAGTCTGAATCCTAAAAGAAATGAAGTCTGAGTCCTAAAAGAAAAGAAATCTGAATCCTAAAAGCAGCAAATATTTTTAGAGTGTTATCTCTTCTGTGCTGCAGATATCAAATAAAGGGTCAGGTTTAACTTAAAGTATTCTGAAAACCACTTATGTAATAGGAATTGAGTTACAATAAAGAGGATACCATGACACATTTAAGGATACACATCCGCTTTAATGCACATTCTTTACTGTGCTAAAAGTAAAATAATTTTAGAATTTTTTATGCATTTTTATTAAGAATTTTATTTACAATGGTAAAAACTTATACAATCTAGAAAAAGAGAAGAAAATGGCAAGGAAGAATAAAAAATACAGGAAAAGAGAAAAAAGGAAATATATAAAGAAATGACTTTCAACCTTCGTCACAAGTACGGTATAAACACATTTAATAAATTTTCATACCCCCCATAAGGTTAAACAGATAACTTTTCATCCCATATTCCACACCTTATTTATAAGCAAATACATAAAACATCAATTTTTCAATCTTGGTGTCAGCAAAAATCCATTAATTTTTTCCCAGAACATTGAAAAAAATATCTTATTTTGACTTTGATCTGATAAACCAGCTTTATATTCCTTCCTTTTAATTCAATCAAATATTGTTATAGAAATTCATTTCTCTTCAATTCTTCTTTATCCTGTCAAACAGATTTACTCAAGACTTTAACAAGCTTCTTATGTAGATCCAATAAGAAAACATTTTCAGGTCATTCCCCTGGCTTATAATTTGCATCTCACTTTTAATTTTTAAAACATCAACCAGGTTTTTTTTTGTATATCCAGTAAAGTGTCCTTTTCCAAATTATTCTCTTGGCCTGTCATTCAAATCCACATTCTGTACTTCCTCTGGCCACCCTGTTTGTTTACATGGAATAGTAACAGAGACTATTCATAGCAGGATAAAATAGCTACAACCCCAATCTTTCGTGATGCCTTCATTTTTTTTTTTTTACTTAGATCCCCTATTTTTATGTTTGTTTATTTTTATGCTACAATGTTCTGGAAAAGATCAAAAAGAACTTGAGCAACTGCTTTTTTTGTCACACTTCAATCACCTTGACAATTGTGGCTTGCCTCACCCATCATGAGAATCTCCGCCTTTGGAACTGCCCCAATCTACTCTCCACTTAATCAGGGTCAGGCTTAGAGCTCAATTTCCTCTGCTTTCCAACTTTGAGATTTTAGTTTAGTCCTGCAATTTTTCTGGAATGAAGTAGATTGAATTATAAACTTGTCATTAGTGCCTGACCTTTCATTAGGGCTTCCAAAGCAATCAAATAAAACTTATTTTCTGGACTTTCCTCACAGGTAAACAGTTCAATCCCTTAAGGTAATACATTTATCACATTTTGACTTTCTCCTCTACCTTATTTTACTTTTAGTAAGGATGTTTCTCTTTTTTTTTCAGCCTACTGATGAAGCGTTTTTGAAAGAACTTACATATCTCTGTCTTCCAGTTTACCTTCCATTTCTAGAATAAGGGAGATCTTCTCCTGTATTCTCCCTGAATTAAGATCAAGACCCTTTGGGCCTATGGCTATTCCCTTATTTACCTTTCTTTTTTAATCTTAAAAAGCAGCTTTTAGTGGCCATGACTTCAATTAATCAGCCGAAGAACTGTGTATCTTATGAAAAGACTGTCATTTTTATAGGGACAAATGTTTTTATTATCCAACCTCTTAAGTTTTTTCCCCACTTGGATTAGGATATAATATTTCTTACTTTTTGTCCTAATTCCTCAGCTCCATAGAAACATCTCTGATTTTGCTTTTTATCTGGCATTTTTTCTGAGACTTTGTTTTTTCCAAGGCCATTATAAAGGCCATGGTTTTCTATTCAGCATTTTTTCCAGATGGATAGCCTGCTGCCATCTGACCAAACAGCTGTGCCTTCTTCCAATCTGTGATCACTCCAAAAGAATCAACAGCTTTCCTCCAGATCTTCTGCTGCTGGAACAATGTTGAGCAGTAACATGGGTTCAGCCCTTTGGTTTCATTCAGCATCAAAGCCTGAATCTTTATTCCCAGAAAGGATGTGGCCTTTGGAAGAATGTGGCATTTTTGGTCAATTTATGATGACTAGAACCTTGTCCAACAAGGATAATATTATTTTTTTCTCATATATATGAAAATTCATAAATTTTGGAACAAAGTGACATCTAATATTAAAAACTACATCTTATATGAACCTCTATTCCATTATATATATTATTATTATTTCAGTTAATTTATAAAGCAATGTTATCAATCAACAACTGCGCTCAAAATAAAGGTGAAATAACTCTACCAATAGTTTTACAATAGAACATATATGACTCATAAAGAAAAATGTTAAGAGGAAAGTTGAAAGATTTAATTGATGTAGTCTGAGGTTTTTTAACATGCATAGTGACTGTGAGATAGATAAAAGTGCTTTCCATATACATTGTTAGTTATGTTTAAGGAACATATTTTCTTCACAGGAAAATAGATATGAGCAAATAGCTGCAGCACTTCAGTTGTTTCATATATGATGGATGATTTAATATTTTTGTTTAATAACTTGGTAACCAACTTATATGAACCTTTTCAATATTGTCCATTCAGTTAATTTTCACAATAGTACATGGAAGAGAAATATAGCAATTTTATGTTCCTATCTATTTATCCTTCCCTCATTTTTTATCACTGTACCGTTCTTGCCCAGTGCCTCTGGTTTTTTTGTCACATTTCCTTCATTTCTTAATCCTTTTCTTTCTTTCAAAGGTCATCATTGACCCTTCCATCTGGTTGCTTTTTCCAGAGACTAAATAAATGTCTCACAGAACAGCATGCAAAGAGTCTGCTGCAGCATGCACATTCTTATACAGTATACTATGTATGAAAAAGGACTCTCTTGGAAATAGTACATTATTTCTTAGAATGAAAGCAATTTTTAAAAAATCATCTTTCTCCCAATCCCCCTAGGCAGTGGTGGGATTCAAATATGTAATGACTGGTTCTCTGTGTGGATGCCGCTTCCAGAAGTCCATTCTGGGCCTGGGCAACAAAAAATTAGCTA